GGGTTCTGTGGATAGTTTCTGAGATGGAACTTCTAGACTTCAGAGGAGTCTACAACGGCCTGTAAAGGGTCTGTACGGTCTTTGTCAGGAACGTAGGGTAAAGTATTATATTTCACGACGTTATTTGAGTAATGTGCTTTCCCATGGCCTCTGGGGTTCTCAAAAGGAAAACACCTAGAAGTAGTTGATATCTTTGTCTCCTTCGAAGCCCGAGCAGCTTTGGGGTGGCCATTTGTGACCTTGATTGGGGCGTCAGGGGTTCGGGTACAGGACTGGGACTCCGTCTAGGGTTTCGGGTTACAGGCAAGGGCTCTGCGATCTGGCGACTAGGACTCTAGGTATCTCTAGGTTCTAGGGCTTCGGACTTGCGGCTCCAAGGTGTAGCGTGTTCCGGCTCACTGGGTTTCCTGAAGGGTGCTTGCGACCGTCTCTTCTGTCCCCCGAAGCTCGGGCTGAGGCTTGCCAGCTATGCCACCTCCCAAGTCCCGTGCACACCTCAGCCCCTCACCAGGGTCTGTCATTTTGGGGCTTGGTATCTGCGGCAACAAAAGTTCCTGCTCCAGAACACTTTCTTTGTTCTGGTATGGCATCATCGCATTATTATTATAGTAATCGCGAAGCCCCTTCTCAAACCTTTCTGGGAATGCCGGGCGGTGTGAGGTCGACCGCCGACTCGGACTCGGGGTCCTGGCGGAGTGTGGAGAGTCTTTTTGGGGTCCCCGGTGCCCCGCTTTTGAGACCTTAGGGAGATTTTCCGTGGTTCTATGGGTCTTTCACATGGGCCCTCCATCTAACCCGGGAATCGCTGGGAATCTGCGAGACGAAGCTCTTGACTCTATGCTATGAGCTTTTGTGGTGTTTCGGGCTTGGCCTGTGGCTTTTTGGTGCTCTCACCCAAACTTTAAGTAGTCTTAAGCCCTGCAAGTTCCTAAACCCTATCATGCCCTTTTTAACCTTACAGCCCCTTCAAAGCCCTGAGACCCTTAGACAAGAACTCCGTCTTCGGTTCGTGGCCGAGCTGTCCTCCAGGTCTTTCGCTCCCTGCAACATCAGGACCTGCGCATCGTCCTGCGCCTCGAGACAAACGCACGAAGGCTTCGGGTGTCAGTACCTTTTTGGAATGCAGGTTTACTGCTTAAGGCTCGGGGCATGGTTCGCCATGTGCGCCAAATCCACATCTCAGTCTGAAGACTTGAAATTCCGCAAGATCACCCGCAGCAAAACTCTGAGGGCTATATCTCTCTTGAAGGAGAGGCATCTCGCGCATAGGAGATTGAGAAATCCGGCGAGATTGGTTGTTGTTCATTCTGTCGGTAGGGTTCGACCTGTGGCTACAACATCGCTGGGGGCCTCCGAAAACGCCTGTGCTCTGTAGAAACACCTCTCCCAAGTGACTGCTCACCGAGGTTCCAGCTTCCTCAGACGGCCTCAAGGGCTGTGTTGGGCTTGCGGTTAGGGCAAAGGTCCTGAATGAACTTAGATCATAAAATCTCAGGCACGAGTTCTCCCTAAACCATCCTAAACTCCTAAACCTGAAAGGCCTAACTCCGGGGCTCCTGAAACCCAGACCTCCCAAAACTGGCCTTGAGTGCTCTCATCTCCAAGGGCCCCAAGGGCTCTGAGTTTGGAGTTCAGCCGAAGCGTAGAAATCTGAAATTGCCTTCCTGTTCGGGGCTTGTTGTTATGGCTTCTTTCTCCAAGTTGGTCCTTTGGGTGCTCAGGTAGGTATAGGTTTGCGGGTTGTGATTTAAGTTGGGGGCATGACGTCTGGGGTTAGGGTTCAGGGTTTAGTGTTTAGGGCTCAGGTTTGGGGTCTAGGGCAGGCCCTCGAAACATAAAGCGAGCCCAACGTGCAAAACAACTAACGGCTTCGCGAAGCCATCGTCATCCCTGTCATGCGAATGACAATCACATTCAAGGACCCCCGGGTCCGAAAGCCCCAAACCCGACTCTGCTCAGCCGAAAAGGCATAAGCCCCCAGAGAGCTAAATCGCAAAGAGCCCTGGAGCTCGGCCTCTCGATTCCAGCTTCCTTTGCAAAGTTGCAAGCGTTTGGGGTTGACTCGGCTAGACCGCCAGACTCCAGTTGCACAGCTGGCCCCGAAACCACTAGAAACCCATTGCAAAATCTTCGAGATCTTCGGGCTCAACATGTCGAGGGATGTCGAGTGCTTTCCGGCGGCCAGAGTTTGGGGATGCGGCTCCGAACCCAAAACCTGAAGGTTCGGGGAGCGTGCCTTGCGGTCTGTTGGGGTGTGTGCTATCATTGGAAGAGTGGGGGTCGGTCGGGGAACTAAGAACCAGGATGATACATGTACATGTATGTCGTGTGTATATATATATATATACACACACATATTTCTCTCTATATATATATATATATATTTGTATATATATATATATATATGGAGCGACAAAATATTCCTACATACCCAGACCCTATGTGAGAGGCACGGCTAGAGCCGTGAAATCTCAAAACCTTGAGGTCCTGCGAGCCATGTCTTTCATCTTCTGGTCTCTGGATGTGGTCTCCATCAACCCGGACATTCTAAAACCCTGAATTCCAATTGCATGAAAAGCCCCATTTCGCCTCGAGAAGAGTGCACCTCCGCCAAAGCCCGAGAATCCCACATCGGACAACATTCGTCTTTAGCTCTGAGGTCTCGTGGCCTAGATTCGAGATCCCGTACAACCAGAAGCTTGAAAGACAGGGCTCAAAGTATGTAGCGCACATTGCATCACACTATAAGAAAGACCTTCATCACAAGGACCCTCAAACAACGTAGCCCTGAAAATGACGAACCCTCGAAGGCCTTCACCGCGTTGCGGTACACCCGGGGCATCGATTCCAATGTGCTGAACCTTGCAGAAACACATAGCGCCAAGAAACAACAGAATCCCAAATGCAAAAAGGTGCCAACCCCAAACTCTCGACGCTCAGGGTTTGGGATTTGGGTGCTTGAAGTGTCAACGTGTAGGGAGCGGCTTTCTGGCGTGTGGATTTTGCTGTGGCTCCGTGTCACTACTCGAATGTTGGGTCTTGAGAGTCTTGAGTCTCAGACGGTGAGGGGCTTCGATTTTGGAGTTTCCGGCTTTGAGGCGGAGAGCTTGAAGCGGTGAGGGGCTATCGGCTTCGGTGCTTCTCGGTGCTTAGGCTAAGTTTATGGGGTCTGGGATGTGGGATTTATGCCGTGGTCTATGCAGGGATTTGGGGCGAGGGCATGGACAGACCTGAAAGCTTTGGAATCCTTGACGAAACCTTCACCGCATCGAGTCGCTTAAGGATCCCGTTTGTAGAGCCCTGACTGAAGTCACGGAGTTAAAGGGCTTTTTTTAAGGCTCCTTCATTCACGGGCTCTGGGCCGAAGCTACAGTTTCATTGCAGTCGCAATACCCTAAGGGGAGTCCCTGGAGCCTCTTCACTCTGTCGAAGAGGTTGCTAATGGCATGGTGGATGGTGCACAGGTCCTGCTCGCGACAGGTGCCGGGCAGAGGTCTGTTTCGGATTTCGTTTAACGGCATGAGCACGGCATGAGCACGGGGTTAATGGAGATCCCAGGCTTCGCAGCCACTCTGCAAACCCCAAGCCCCCTAAACCAAACCAGAAATCCCAACGAAATTTACAGCACAATCTTGACAGGCACGAAAGCCCTAGAGCCCACCGGCACCCCAGGAAATCCTCGAAGTCTGTGACTTGACACTTGCCGGAGCGGCCCACATACTGGCGCACCTGGCTTCACGAGGGTCGCTAAGACGCGGATCCCAGAGCGAACAGCACAAAAGCGAGGTTTTGTAGAAAGAAAGCTCTCTTCTGCATCTCAAAGGCCCTCCAGGCTCCGAAGGCTTGGAAAAACCCTCTCAGCCCCCCTAAGGAGGGGGCCCTCAGTCAGCCCCTCCCAGGCCCAGGGCCTGCTCCAAAAGGCTCGCAGCTGCTTTGGCCTTCGCTCAAAGCTTTGGGGGGTTTGGGCCTCGGGGCACGTGAAGCAGCTCGGAAGCTCTGCTCAAAAGCCCTCAAACCCAAAGCTCCCAAAGAGCTCGGCCTCGCGGTCGAACACCCTGGGAACCGAGGCTTCCGATCAACAGGTGCAAGGGTGAGGGCCTCTGTTCAATCTGGAGTTTTGCGGTGGGTTCTGTAAGTGCTTTATTCGGCCCTGTTGCCCGTGTTTGGGGTTTCGGACTTGCGATAACCTCACCCGGCGCTGAGTGAGGTATACGGTTTACGTGCAATTTTTAGATTCTTTTAGGGCGACCTTCTGTTCCTGAAAAAGAACCAGAATCAGGCTGGAGGGTGTGGAACCCCTTGAACTCCAACTGATAGACACACAAGCAAGCAAGATGACACGATGAGAAAAATGTCTCTCTCGAGTTCAAGGGTAGTTGCTCAAGAAGCGCTTTGACAGCTTAAACAGTCAGCTATCGAAGCATAAGAAGGCGGAGAGGGCCGAACAAGTCAAAGGCAAGCCAGAAAAAAGAAATAGTACCGACACCGTCCCACGCTCGCCATCAATCCGAGCTTCGTGTTTCGGTACCGACGACGGGCTTCTTCTGTTTCGCTGCCTCGGGGACCGCTTGCGCATGATCGCACAGCGCACAGCAGAAATAGTTCTCCGCACTGGCACTGCCTACGAGTGACTTCAGACTGCACCTAAGAGCGAATCAGAAAGCGCAATCTCGAGCCATGGTCACCGAGCCCGGGAACACAAACCCTGTGGAAGCAAAGAACTTCCCTTCGCTCAGAGTCCCATTCCCACTCCCGACACAAGGTCCCCGCCCATGGGTGCCACGGCTCCGCTCGAAAGTGCAGTGACTCTCCATGCCGAAATGCTGCGGATGCCTATAGTAAGGACTAAAGAGGACTCCCCGTGCAATTCTCAAATCTAGGCTTTGAGGGTTGATCATCAGCAGCATAACACTTCCACCATCAGACCAGGACAAAGCTGTTTTCACACTTCTGTTCGCAGGTTTCTGCGCCGCGTCCTGGCCGAATCCCACCCTTGCCCTTCACTGGTCACTGCGCGAGAAACCGAACTTGATTTCCTTGGCTGTCCAAAGGCCAAGGGCAGAGGAGCTGTCATCTCAACGAGACATCTCATGGCGACAGGTCTCGTTCCCTTCCGCCACATCCAGTCGTTCTTTGTTCCATCGGCTCTTCTGATCTGCATCCGCATGCTCGCCTGCGGCGAACGCAAAGGCGAAAGCAGGGAGAGGGGAAAAGCACGGACACCGCACAGAGTGTGGGCATCCAAGGGACTGCTGGCCCTGGTTGCATTTGGCTCAGGCTCTCGTCTGCCACCCCTGCAAAGAGACAGGGAAGCAGAAAACTTAAATTAGCGGCGGAGCTCAGGCGACGGCCGGAACCAGGAGGCAGCTTCTGCTGCTTCGGTCGCCGCTGCCTCTGCTGCCTCCGGTCCCTGTGCCGTCTTCCCAACAGCCCGTGCTCTTGCAGGCTCCTCCGTGCTCGTTGTCGGCTTCGCCGTGCTGGTTTTCCGCTGAGGACGCGAGTGTGTGGACACAGTCCGCTGTGAAGTTCTGGTGGTCGTGTTCGCAGCTGCCGGAGCCCCACTTGTGGTGGCGGTAGAACCAGAACCACCAGGTCCAATGTCAACAATCAACTCTGGCTCTGTCGACAAAAGGTGCTCCGTCGTAGTCACGGCACGACTCTCTTGAGTTTCTGCTGGAACTGACTGCTCAGGCTTTTCGCTGGGCTGCTGCTGTTTTGTCTTGGTTGTGTTGGTAGATGTGGCATCACTCCATTTGGCTCCACCTGGATTCTTGCCGGGCTGCTGGTGCTCCGTGTCGGTAGACGCAGCACCATGGCTTCCTGATGATACAGTGGTCGTGGTGGTGCCGGCAAGCGACTGCTGCGGGGTGGTCTCAGCACCTCCTGCGTCCTGGCTTCCTGACTGTGACGGCTGCGCTTCGCCAGATGATACAGTGGTCGTGGTGGTGCCGGCAACCGACTGCTGCGGGGTGGTCTCAGCACCTCCTGCATCCTGGCTCGGGGATTTCTCTGGCCCTGGCACTGTGGTTTCTCGAGACTGGGATTGCTTAGTTGCGTGTTCAGAGGTGACAGAGAGTGCATGTTGCCACTGGTCTGCCTGGACCTCACACATGCTCTGACCGCATTCGAAGTCTATGCTGAGCCATTGGAGCTTCGCTGAGCCCCGGGCATTGAAGTAGCTCTCCAGCTGCGCAAGTCGATTTCGCAGCTCCATGTTTGTCTCCAGCTCTGTTTCCTTTCAAAGGCAGCGCCAAGGACTACGCTGTCCCCAAGTTGCCGTAAGTCACCCTCAGGCTTGAGTGCGCCAGGCCACATAGTCTGGAAACATAAGCGAATCCTGCCCGGCACGTCGGTGGGATTGAGGGACCCTAGTTGGGTGTCTGTGGTAAGGATCCAGCAGTTGAAGGCCCTACGACAACGTCCAGTAGAATTTTTACTGTTTTTTTAACATACCCAAAAAGCAACCAACACATACTCTCGCCAGCATTCTCCAGACGTGCTTTATACACTCACCAAAATCTCCAATGTGAACCCGAGTTCAAAGGAAACAGCCCCTTTTCTGCAACTCGCGAAAAGCAATCTCGGAACACGGAAAGCCTGAAAGGGTCTAAACAGTTGAGCCTCCTCGGGCGTCTGCTCTGCAGACCTGCACTTAGAACTTGACAGGCGCGACGGGCCCCCTCAAATTGCTTCGGAAACCCCTGATGAATATACGGACCACTAACCAGGTTAACCACTGCTGCAATCCTTGCTCAGGGAGGGACGGGGATTAATCGGTCAGGGGTCTACAGCATGTGTTAGCGGCTGTCTAGATTGTTATGCGTCCGGGCCAAATACATTTACTCCTGCCCACGGCATATGCCTACATTGTTACTCCAGCTCCACTGCGGTCTGCGTACATGCTGTCCCATGTAGGAGCTTCGGAGCTTCACAAGGCACCAAGACCCAACAGAGTCCCTAGAGGATCAAGACCCCTGAGAAAAAAGAACTCCCATTCTCAAACTCACCGTCCCGCGTTGTCCAAAACTGCTCGAGTCCGTGCCCGCTCCCCTCCGACAGCATGAAAAACACACTCGTTCTTGTTTGTTCACGCCTGTCGAAGGAGCGCCGCTCCAAGTTTGACGTTGATCTGTGTGTCTTCGCCCTCTTCCTCCAAGCCTTCCAACTTTGGGTTTAGGACAGCCTGGGGTTCAGAGTCTCGGAGTTTGGGACAAGGCACAACCGAAGGGTAGTGGTTTCAGGCTCTGGGATGCTCTGGGGTCAGGTCTAGAAAAAACCAAGACTTTAGGAACCCGAGTCTGGGCTGAAGGCATCCTTCAACTTGAACAAACATTGGTATCCTGGTGGGTCAGGTTGTGGAGGTAGCTGGAGAGGTCCTTGCATAAATGTGCAACAGGTCTTGCTAGCGGGCTGCAACTCAGACAAAGGGTCGCAAGCATCCGAATAACACCTAAGACAAGATTCTCGCTGCATCGATCGAGCTGCGGTGACAGTTTCGGAGAAATTCTCGCTTTCGCGATGCATCATTCTATACAGCCTTTTCCGTAATCTTCTGTTCTTCTTGTGCTCCTGCAACGCTGAGGAGAGCCGCAAGCATCATCACAACATGCCACATAAATGGCAGTGTATGTTTCGGCAGTGCACAAATTGTCCAGCCTCCCGAAGCACGCTTAGCAACGCCTCGGGCGTGACGTGGCTCTCATTCGCACTCTGGTTCGCGGCTCCGGAGCTTGCCTCGAAAGCGAAAGCACATCAGAGAGCTGGATCGCAGCTGCAGATCGCTGGGCCTCTGCTTTGGCTATCAGCGAGTCCGGCGTGAGGCCTCGGGTCTGATTTGTAGGGCCACAATACCACCCCGGGTCTTCAGTGCCACTATGGCACTGGGACTGGGCCGATCAAGCGAGAGGAAGTCTGGTGCCGCATCTCTCCAAGCAAGTGCCACAATGAACTCACAGATGCAGCAAAACGGCCTTGCAGGGGCCGGGGATCGGACAACAAAAACCGAAAACCAGGCCCGAAACTCACCCATGGCACGAGCGGATTGCGCGACCTCCGAAGCATGGAAGACCGCCGTTCAAACGGATGAAATTTCCAGTCCTGCGAAACGCACGTAAGCACGGAGAGGCTGAGGTTCCAAATGTTCGGATCCAAACAGCTGAGCCTAATGCCTCAAGGCAACCGAACATGTCCCGTCCTCGTGCAGGTGCACAGGACGGCAGACGACGGCGGAACCTGGTAACTCTAATTCCGTCCTGGCACGACTCTGCAAAGGTCAAATAAGGCCGTGACTTTAACGTGCACAAGTCATGATGGACCCAGGCTTCGATACCCGAGACTTGACTTGAGCCGCTACCGTGATCATCAGCTTTCGGACAGCACTGCCAAGGTCAGAGAGAAAACATGCAGACGTGATCGTGCGGCGATGTCAGCGACTCCACCCTCCGATCCAAAGGCTCAGCTGAAGGGCCACGGCCACACAGTGTGTGGGTAATACCAACGGCAGAGCTGCTCAACGCTCAAAGACTCAGACGGCCCTATCCTTTTTACTCACCAGTTCGTGAACTCCACCGTCGCAGACGACAAGACGCAGTTCTCTTGCCAAGCACTTCGGCAGCACGCACAACTGAAGCAGGCAGGATTTCTTGAAACCTTCATGTTATTGTCGTACCCCACTGTTACACCGAAGTCAATCATCTGCCAACATCGTACTGACTGTACCAAGATGTACCAAGAACTTGCCTCTTCTGGATGCCGGCCTTCGGCCGGCAGCTCAGAATTCGTCTCCGTAGCCCTCCTCTTCCCCTTCACCTCAAGATGAAGAGCGGGCTTGGCGCGAAAGTACTCGCATAATATTCACCGGCATCAAGCACCCCATGGCAAACGTGAGAGAAAAGGAAGCGGCGAGCCTTCTGCTGTTTCGATGCCAACCTCTTCGTAATCCTTCGATTCATTCGGTTTCCAGCTTCTTCGTGTCTCAACTGTACTATCCATTTCCATTCATTTTCTGGGTGTTTACATACTTCTTTGCACGTAGATTTATCATGTATGTGTCTGTTTATCTCCTAATTGTTTGTTTATTTGTTTGCTTTTTGCTTATTTGTACCTCTTGATGTATCTATGTATTCCTGTTGATTTCTTTGGTCATTCACGTATTCAAAGATACGTGATTTCTGTAACTCTCTGCTATTTGCTGCTGTCTCTATATTTACATGGCTGTATCAGCTCTTGGCTCGCAGCTCTCGACTGCATGTCCGTCTGTCTCTTGCTTGCTTGCCAGCTAATCTCTCGCTCTTGCTCTGTCTCTCTCTCTCTCTCTCTCTCACACACATATCGGTCAGCTGTTGACTGTTGCCACGCAGCACCGGCAGACCAGATGCAGGGCAGCGAGCCCAACCCTCGCGCGGAAGAGGCTCCTTTTCCAAGGCAGCCAAGTCCTCGCGCGCCTCCGAGAACTCTCCCTCCTCCATGCCTGCAGAAAAGGATCTGCCCAAGGCGGCATCACTGGGGACGAACTCGTGACAACAGGCTGCCGGACTTTGAGAAAACGTGTGGGTGTTCAGCTCGCTCCCGGAACCGTGCCTTCACCCACGTAGTGGTGGACGAAGGCTCGCTTCCTGGTGCGACTATCATGAATCATCTGAGCCGTGGAGGCGTTACCGGGCTTCGTATAGGTTTGCACTAAGCTTGCAAAAAGTAATGTGCATGGGGCTGCGAAGTTCGGAAGGCTCTCTTCACCGTCGTGCTTAGCTAAGAAGGTGTACAGTGTACATACATTTGTGACATGCAACTGCCTCTATACCACAAGACCACATCAAAGGTCACCAAATCCGAAATCCAGAGAAACATGGACACAGAAAGGACAAGCGGATTGGATTTCGAGTTTATCAGGTGCCGTGGAAAGTTTGAAAATTATTTGACCCTACGGCTTGGACATAGTCAGAACACTACAGCGTCGAGCCGC